GGGCGGGACAGACACACACACCATGGCATGCACTCTGTGTCCAAAACCAGGATTTGGCAATATTTAAAATAGGTGGTCACTCTTGAAAATGAGTTTGTTGGGTTTTTTTAAAGAAAAAGCACTTGAAGGGAGGGAGCCAGGAGTTAAAAGGTTAAATGTTTTCCACTGCTGTTAGAATAAAGACAGTGTCTTGAATCATTGTTAAACTGTTTGTCTATATTTTATTATACCGCGGTATAGTATTATTGTTGGTAACTGATGTGTACAGAGTAACACTGTGGTGCTCTTTCTAGGTATAATTGAAGACATTGTGTGGTCCTTGTGAGAAGCTTGGTTCCTGCTTGGGTTTTAATTGTAAAATATTGTTCTGTATTTTTGTATAGGTAATTGGATTTTGGAACCACTTTAACATATGATAAAGGCAAAACAAATACTAACTAATTTAGAGGGCAGCACTTGAAACTTTTGTATATCTGAGCATGGAAGTTAGTTATTTACAAGTTCTCATCTTCGGGGTGTTTTACTGGGTTTCCATTTAAATTCTTAAATCTGCGTTTCTACTTTGTAGTTAATGATCCTTTAATGTAATATTAGCAATCAAGTAGGCTTCTTGGATGCTGGCATTGTTTGATTATATTATGCATGCCTCTGTCCCACAAGCCGCTCTTGGTAATATTTACAATTCAAAATGTAGTCTATGGAATTTTTTACATATTTTAAAAAAATAAAACTGTGGTAGCATTGCTTTTGTAGTATTGAGCCTTAAAATAACAATCACAGTGGTGTACACAAGTATGACACACACTAAAATACTGGAGAGAGATATTTTTACTTGTGCTGTTGAAGTTTTTGGTAGCGCTAACTCATTTAACGTCTAACCTCAAACATTTTATTGCTATTTAGTGTTTTTCTTGGGACCATTGGTATTAAACTAAAATTTCCTATTTACATCATGTAAAGTTTAATGTGCAAAGAGACTAGCCTACCAAAATATTATCCAGTTTTAAACAAAATTGGAGAATTGCATGTCTGTCATCAGCAGGTCACATTACACTTGCTAAATAGTTGCAGGCTTGGTTTTTGGTTTTTTTGTTTTTCAAATGTAAGTTTTTCAGTAGCCCGATGTGACAAGAAGAGTCACTTCAAGTGGCTGAAATGTAATCACTTCAAAGGCCATGGTCTAACCAGAAGATGGCCTGGGAAGGCTTAGTTAGCAGGCGCAAAACCTAGACTTTCTAGAGCCACAGGTTAAGATGCGTGGACCTAGAACAGAATTCCTTTAAGCTTTTCGCAGGAGTAGGCAGCACAGGCCAAGGGAAGTGCTTTCAGCTGACTGGCGCCCGTGCTCCGCCCCAGATGTGACTCCTTTTTTTAATGGCTGATGCATTACTTGATTGTGTGCAGTGCTGTGGGATCCTGCAGGCTTGAAAGGCTGCTGGAGAGAGCATGAGATGTGTTGCAATAGTGAATCCTCTCTTTGTCGCTCCAGGATTTCAGATGTGTTCTAAGCCTGCCGGGGTGAGCACGCTTCCGGGCACTGATGGAGACGAGAGCTCAGCACGGCAGCGGGTCTCAGGCCTTGCTACAGGCTCGGCGTGACAGTGGGAGACCGCACGGGGAGCCTGACCTGCGGGATGTCCTGATGCAGCAGGTTCACGTCTTGTCGTTGGACCAGATCAGAGCCATCCGAAACACGAATGAGTACACAGAGGGACCTACGGTGGCTCCACGGCCGGGGGTCAAGTCCGCTCCTCGGCTCGCAACCCAACCCAAAAATGAAAGGCCCCATGGCTTGCCCGAGCATCGTCATTTTAGCCGGATTCAGCACACACAAACGCACGCTTCTCCTCGGGCACCTCTGTCCCGATCCATCAGCACGGTCAGCACAGGTTCACGGAGCAGTACAAGGACAAGTACGAGCAGTAATTCATCTGAACAAAGACTTCTAGGATCATCTTCGGGGCCAGTTGCCGACGGGATAGTCCGAATGCAGCCCAAGTCTGAGCTCAAGTCAAGTGAGCTGAAGCCGTTGAGCAAAGAAGACTTGGGAACGCACAGCTACAGGTGTGAGGACTGTGGAAAGTGTAAGTGTAAGGAGTGCACTTATCCAAGGACCCTCCCATCATGTTGGATCTGTGACAAGCAGTGTCTTTGCTCAGCCCAGAATGTGGTCGATTACGGGACTTGCGTTTGCTGCGTGAAGGGCCTCTTCTATCACTGCTCTAACGATGACGAGGACAACTGTGCTGACAACCCCTGCTCCTGCAGTCAGTCGCATTGCTGCACTAGATGGTCCGCCATGGGTGTGGTGTCCCTCTTTCTGCCTTGCTTGTGGTGTTACCTACCAGCCAAGGGTTGCCTTAAGTTGTGCCAGGGCTGTTATGACCGGGTAAATCGGCCTGGGTGCCGCTGTAAACACTCCAACACTGTTTGCTGCAAAGTTCCCAACGTCCCCCCCAGGAACTTTGAAAAGCCAACATAGCATCACTAGTCAGAAATACTAAAGTAACAAGGGTTATTTTGACGTACGTATGCAACCAACTAAGCAGCTATGGTCTTGGCACTGTAGTAGAAGGGTTGGGGATATACTTTGCTGTTTGCAGTGAAATGCTTATCTTGGTGTGTGCCATCTTAACCGATATGCTTGTTAGAATCCAGCTAGTGGGATACAGTAAAAAAAATGGGGTGCAGTACATTGTGACCCACATACTGCATAAGCTAAAGCAACACAGACACTCCTAGGCAACTCTATTGTTTGTGAATAGTACTTGCAAAATTTGTAAATTAGCAAATGACTCCTTTTTTTCATTGTTTTCTGCCAGAGATAATGTGCTATATTTTTGTATATACAATAATATTTTCAACTGTGAAAAATAAGTGGTGTCATAAGACATGGCACAATCACAAAATATTATACTAATATGTTGTACATTCGGAAGAATGTGAATCAATCAGTATGTTTTTAGATTGTATTTTGTCTTACAGAAACCTTCTATTACAAGACTCTGATTTCCCTTTGGACTTCATGTATATTGTACAGTTACAGTAAAATTCAGCCTTTATTTTCTAATTTTTTCAACATATTGTTTAGTGTAAAGAATATTTATTTGAAGTTTTATTATTTTATAAAAAAGAAATATTTATTTTAAGAGGCATCTTACAAATGTCACCCCTTTTTATGAGGACGTCATAGTTGCTGCAAATAAGGGGTGAACGATGCATATGTTCACTATAAAATAGAAAATATATTAACGTTTGAAATTAAACTGGGCTGCTTGTCATTTTTTCCCCCCATTTATTGTTCTGAGTTGGGAAAACCGGTATTTTTAATTGCAAACTTCACAGCGATATAGTACAATTTCTAAGTGTAATTTTTTGTTGTTGTTTACTACATCACCTGAAAATAACACAGGATTTTTGCTTCCTTCCTTTCCACAAATGTCCCATATGCTGTTCTTAAAACCGAAAAGGAAAATGAACATAGGAAAATGCATTAATTCATTCCAGATTAGGACTAATAGGCACTGAAAGCTTGACCTATTCTATAAGTGATGAGCTTTTGTGCTTCAAATAGGAAATAAGTAATCATTCACAAAAAATGTTAGGCTTGCGTGGCTTTACTCAGAGAGAGAGGGGGGAAAAAAAAGAAAATTAATATGGTCAGTGCAAAAAGCTTGCAGGATTATTTGTTAAAAGTAGAAGAATATGCCACAGGGAATGATAGATCTGAATGCAGTCCAGCCTTATGTCAAACATTTGCCTCACTTGTAAGAAGTTGCTTGATTTGTCATTTGTGGCAGTTACCTTCCACTGAGGTCAAAATCCTTTCGCTGCCAAGTTTCCCACCGGAAGCCTAGAGAATGATTTACCTTTCTTTATTAACAAACTATCATTTCCTCTTCTGAGCATGTTTCTCCAAGTTTAGAGGTCTCAATGTTGAATTTATACATTTCTTAAGCTGGCATATAAGAAATAGTTGTAAGTACTTTTAAGCTGATGCTTAGAAAAATCTCACAACCCCTTCTGAACTCTCTCCAATAAAAACAAGTTATAACTAATAAATAAAGAACTCACTAAAAGTTGAAAACCAGAGAATTGAGTAAACGCTACATTTTTTTGCCCCTTAATTTTCATCTGTTATCTGGTGTTCGGGCTATTTTACATAGGTCTGTAGTACTCAAAAACCTTACACCCTGTGTTTGTTTGTATTGATTATCAATCATCAAGTGAAATTAAAAGTGCAAGTCCTGACTAGTTTGCAAAACAAAAATAGCTGATACATGGGCCTTATTCTCTTTTTCTTTTTTTTTTTTTTTTCCTTACCTCTGGTGAAAAATGTAAGCTGGTTTTCTTTCCTCTCCACACCAGCTGGCTGGGCACTTTGGTGCACAAAGACAAGCAGTATATATTTAGACTTCAGAGTGGAATTTGTGGCTTACGTTACATGAGTAATCTGTCCATACTTAAAGCACATGATAACATCAATATATTGTGACCAAGTGTTGGGGCATATATGTGAGATTGTACTCGGTGGCTGACAAACAGAGATTTTAATTTTTTTTTTTTTTTTTTTTTAGAAATTTTGTTCTTGAAGGCGTTGGTAACCATCATGTGTTTCCATTCACTGAATATAACTTTTGAATTAGATTAGGTGCTTATGCCTAAACTGTCCTGGGTTAGTCTTACTGGTTGGAAACAAATACGGGAATAATCAAATAGTCCATTCATTAGGGCGAATCTTTGACCTTTAGGCTATATTTTGGAAACCGAAAAACCCCACTGATTTCAGTAGACGGTAAATCCAGTTTTTATACTGTATTGATGAACTTGACAATACTGAAGGTGAGCTCTGTCTTTTCAGTGATTTATGTTTCAGTCAAGGAGAATATCTCTAAGGAAGGCTGAAGGTGAAACTGGAAAACTGCAGCATGGCTGAGCAGTGTAGCAGTCAAGGAAAGTGCAACTGTTAAGTTCTACTAGATGAGGTCCAATACTAAAATTGTGGGTTTATTTTGCTTTGCACTATAGCAAGTGCTGTGACTACCTAGATAGGTTCTAAGGGAAAAGAGTAACCATCTTGTTGTTGATAGTGAAATTTGAAGCTGGTCTTAACATTAAACACTGGTTGTCACCTTCCCCTTGCTTCTTAATGAGGATAAACAGTGGATCCCCTCCACCCCAGGTAAGCCCACTACCAGTGAATTGGGTTGCACGTGTGACACTTGGGATCAAGGACGTACGGGGGGATAGCATTAGGCCCTGCCTGTTGGGCTAACTACAGTGCTGGGGTCTAGGCTTCAGTTGGTATGAATTAGCACATGTATGCAGTGGACTCTCAGAAGCTGGTTTGTGTATGTTAGTTAACATCCTAATATTACACTTCATTAGATAAGGTTTACTGTTCAAAATAAAACCAAAATCTTGCTTCAAACAGATTAGATTGTTTTAGTAAGAATTAAGAGGGCTTTTCAAGTGGATTGAGATAATGTTATTAAAGCATGCCTACTTTGTCCTTTGAGATAGGAGAGTGGAGGTCCAAGAAAGGAAATTTTTCCATACACAGGTTTTGAGGATAACTGTGAAAGTCATGACAGATATACACCATATAAGGGTGGTATTGGTATGGTATGGACTTTGGTATTAGACAGCCATTAAGTCATGAGAGAGGGGAAAACCCTTATTACTGCTCCCTTTGTTGTGTTGTTGCTTTCGTGTTTTGATCTGTTAACCTATAAATTCTGATTTCACTGTAAGGTTTGCTTAAAGTTAGAGACCTGCAGGATTGGACTGACAGTTGACCATAATAACAATGGAAACAAATAGCTTTTTTCAAATTATTTTTCCACATGATATAAGCTACAAATAAATACATCGAATTTGCTTGTACGGTAACTTAGAAATGTCTCTATTAATATCCTCAAGCAAATTTTTATTTTGCTTTTTAATGGTTTGAGGCTTGACTATAATTTCTCTTTTGAGATAGCGATCATAACAGTAAAAAAAGAAGAGAAAGAAACTTGGATTCATGTGGGAATAAAAAGGTATAGTACTTTAGATGGAAATAAAATGTGTTCTTAAAGGATTTGAGATCATATTCAGGTGAGTATTTGCATATTCAAGTGAGTTACCAATCAGTCTTCAAAAGCCAAAATTCTCCAAATGAGGAAATGCAGTAGTTACGTGGTCGTGATGATTAACGCAACAGCTTTTTACACTTTCTTACAAAACTCTCGATCATGTGTGAGGTGGAAGTGACTTGACAACAGCAAAGTACTGATCACTTATTCACCATGCATAACTTGCCTTTTTTTTTTTTCCTTCAAATGTATAAAATAATTAATTTCTGTGATGAGTGGAATCCTAAGGCTTATTCTTAAATGGCGGTCAGAGAATATAATGCATTTTCGTACTACGGTAGAACATTTAATTATTTTTAGGAAGTAACTGTTGGAGAAGACGGATTGGAACAGTCTGTCTCGTCTCAGGTGTTCTTAGATGGGTGCAGGTACAGCGAGTAATAATGATGTCATTTCCTGAGACTTATTTCTCAGTCAGTCACTGGAGCAGAGACCCAGAAAGAAATTGGCTCAGTATGAGAGCACGCTTGGTTGAGTAACGTCTGTATGAATAGTATTGGATAGATCTCTTACTGAAAATGTCAGCAATGTATTGGCTCATCTAAAATAAATCAGTTACAGGGTTGGGGTTGCAGATAGACTACATCATGGCAAAGCACAACAAGTTCTTACCAATGAAAATACTCAGTTTTGTTCCTGTTTACCGGAACAAAATTTACAATTTGATTTTAAACTGGAAATTTGGAAATAAAAATTGATGTCTCACTGAAATCAGGACAGTTTGACACGGAAACTGTGTGCATGTGTATAGCGCATATATATAGGACTTTTTCTTTCAAAAATACTGTCGGTTTCAATCTGAGGAGGCCTCCTGTGTGGTAGTCTTCTTTATTTGTCTTCATATTTCTTCTTTCTGGTCCCTGTCCCTCCTCTTGACCTCTCGTAGCCATAACGCATAAAGGTTTACTGCCGCTTACTAGGACAAAAGGTGAAAGAGGAGGATGAAACATGCTTTTCTCATTAGTATTCTCTGTCTCTGAAAGTTTAAGACAAGGTGGAAAAAATTATTACCTTGCCGTACTTATCCTGCATTTTAAATAGATACAAAGTGTTTTGCCATTCATGTGATGGTGAAACCCACAGTTTTTTCCTCCCAGAAAACATCTTATTTCCATTTCTTTCATGTGATTTTTATTACTTAAGAAGGCTTTATGTATCTTTAAAGAGTTCCCCCGTGTCTTAACCTATTGGTGCTGTGTTTCAGATGACAGACAGAGGTCTTACTACTATAAAAGCATAATCTGCTGTTCCTTTGTCACAGGGATTGCTCAGAAGAAAGCGAATGCGCTTACCTTTGGGCATGAGTAGCAACGATTTAGTTTGAAACAGTGGGAGTTCAGCATTTTCAACCCTGGGAAAAGGCAACCAACATTATACTTTATATATATCTGAAGTTTTTCTTTGCCTGTGCTGTAGGAAAGTTGTTTGTTTTTTTTTCTCTGACTCAAATCCTGCATGCTGATCAGAGAAGCTTATGACTAAAATGTTCAAACTTTTAGACTAAAATGGATTGGTTCCCATTTCAGTAGAAGTTAGCAGTAATCAGAAGCTTTGACAATGGAGCCTACTATTACGTAGGATTATTTATGGATATTTTAATACTTAGGCATTTAAATTACATTTTAAAACAATCCTGCCAAGGGCGATACCCTGTTTTAAAAATGTAAGAAACTCTATAATCAGAGTAGCTCTGCTTTCCTGAAAGCCTGCTGTATAGTTACAAAACCACTCGGTGCACCTGAGATACGTTACAAGGGAAGACACTTGATGGAAGTCAGGTGTTGCAGGTACAAGTTTAACTGGGAGAATCTGAGCCAGTACACAAGGGTGTATCAGGTTGAATCATCAATTTATGGACATAGAGAGCACCTTGAACAAAGTGGGGGTTTAAAAATTTTTATTTTCACCCTAACTTTATTTTGATCAAGAAGCAGTATATATGAGCCAATCATAAATCATGTGATTGTCGATATGATTACTGATAAAAGTATCTTGATGCTCTTTCAGTGTGTCTCAAAAAGCACACCAAAATGGAAAATTTCTAAATTACCATTCAAACTTAACATTGTCACCTTCAGAAATGAAGTCAAACATCAGGGCTGTAGCAATCCATGTTTCAAAATTAGTTG